GCCCAGCCCCGCGCCGGGAACCTGCCCGCGGCAGGTCGGGCACACAGCAGTGTGAGTGAGCAGAGGTAGAACCAGGAGTAAGAGCGGAGTTGTCACCCGGATTGCAGCACACAGCTTACTCAGTCCCTCTGCTACTCCTAAAGTGACTTTGTGTTAGAGTACTGAAAGAAATTCACTAGTAGTCATTTACCCCTCGCTCCCAAACAACAACAAACTTCTCAAAATCTCCTTCCGTTCAACAGCTGTCAGTATAATTTAGTCTCGCTGTGTGAGGAAAGGAAAGGTGAGATCATGCCCTTGGGAAGAGTTGTAAGCACACTGAGTGGTGACAGTCCACCTCGTAGTGACTCATGTCATCAAATGCAGATGGTAAAGGACAAGGACTGAAAGACCAGGTAACAGGCTAATCCAAGGCCTCTCTTCTGCCTGCACACCTGTCCCATTCTTTAGACACTCACTACAAGACCATGGAGAGATGATCTTCCCCCTACTGACTACCACACTGAGAAGCTGCAGGAGCTGTCGGGTGCTATCAGCAGAGTTCACTCTGCCCTGCCAGGAGAGCTCCCCAAAACCACACTGAGGTCTGGGGCAAAGCTGCCAGAGACAATGGTGAGGTTCAGACTCATAGAACACAGTTCTATGACTTGGACAACCTGCTCATCAGCGTTTCTAGGAAGAAAAGGTATAGAGAAACCACACAATATATAACTGCAGGAGAAGCTAAGTGTGTATGGACAGCACATAAACACAAAACACCTGCAGGCACAGGTGAGAAGGACCAAGTGCCCACTATAAAGCTAATTACAAATGGCTTCACTTTTATTCAGCCACAGGAAGGAAGGGGCACTTTGGTAAGGGACTCCAACATGAATTAGAAGTGCAGCTTGGCAGAAACAGCCCCCTAAAACTTTCTTCTTTAAAAAAAAAAGGTCAGATTTTGAAATTGACTCAAGTTCAATTTTTATTTTCTAATCAAACTTTTAGACTACTCAGGCATATTTTCAGGGTTTTTGCTGCATGATCAAGGGCTGAAAACTCACATTTCCTCAAAGCAAAACCAGAGGGTTCTGTTCTGTGGTTTCTGGGAAGACCAAAACATCCTAAAACACCTTGTGGTAGCAGAAGGGAAAGTGTTAATGCAGCTATCCATGGTCTTCTATTTCAGTGTTCCAGCACTTAAGAGCCCAAAGATGTTGTAACTGTCCTAAGAGGATGCCAAGTACAGGACCACGTAATTATTTACTTAGCAACTCTTCCTAATTACACAGTGCAGTTGTGAACTGATCACACGCTATGTTTAAACATTCATAACGTATGCAGATATTGGCACTTAAAAGAGCTTTTGTTGACCACCAACAAACCCACACAAACTCCAGAAAGCACTGACAGTGTGTGTGCCCCAAGGCACCACACAGAGCTGGTCTTAGTTCTTCACTTTGGCAGACAAACTCACACTCTCTCCCGCAGGCAGAGGAGGTTCAGGGTTGCTGCAGCAGACAGCCCGCACGGCCTGGGGCTGACCTCTAGTGGCCCAGCACTGCTCACCTCCCTCCCAGTCAGCACCAGTCGAGTCTTTCTACTCAATTCTTTCACACTACCTCCTGGAGTCAACACACTTGCTCTGTTGTGGCACTGAGCAGTGGACGGTGCAACCCTAAACCCTGCGGGTACAGGTGTATGGTGATTCATGAAAAAGATGGTGAAGAGCAGTGCAGAAAGAGAGGCATTTTCAGCTCCACAGTGGTGCTGTGGCTGGAATTTGCATTTGGGAACAGTGAAGAAGTAAGGTCACTTTGCACTTTGCAGCACAGTTACCAACCAACTGCCTTAAATCCAGGACACAGGTGGCAGAAATGCATCTACTGAAGAGCAGGGAAATGGAAGGGAGATGTGGGACCCAGGTACATTCTGCAAGGGGTAGATGGCACTTCAGAACTGGCGAAACAGGTAAATTTACAAGGCCACTTGTTCTAAGACAGCAGGTACTGCTACTGAAATGACAAAAAAAAAAACCAACCCAAGAGTAAAACCAAAGAGTTTTGCAGGGAAATGTTTGTCTCTATTTCTTCTCCAGACCTTACAGGTCAGAAAAGTTTAGGTACTGCAAATAGTAAAGATAAACCAAATACAACTCTTCTCTCCCTCAACAAATGGTATTATTTGATGGGATGGTCCTTTTTATTTACAAAAGTGACACTGTGCTGATGCACACTAAATAGGGCAAGCTGCTTGCTTCTGAAGCTGGGAATTCCAGGAAGAATGCAAAGCTGGGCAAGGCAGCTAAAGGGACAGTGGCTTAGTGAAAAGAGTGGAGGAGAAAGAGAACACAGTGCTCGAGATTTCCCTGACAACTGTTCACTCAAGTCTATGGGTCTTAATACTTGAAGGGTTATACTTGGTGATACAGAGCAGGCTGAAAAAATAGGCTAAGAAACCCTCCAAAACCACTGAAGTGCATAAATTAAGACCACTAAAGAGAGCAAATGCTTGTTTGGCCTTCATAAAAAATGCACTGAACAAAGCCCATGGCCTCACTTTTCCTTTGGTTACCTATAGCAGCAATTTCTCTGGAGAACACAGGTTGTTCCTCCTGCTGCACACAAGTCTCTAAGGCCTGTTGGACATTCCATAAAAAGTTTGCTTTCCACTCTTCTAATGTTTTCCACTAATCAACACTACATGGATCAGATTAACCTCTTGAAACAACCTTGCTTTGATTGTCCAAGTTTCTTTTCTCAACAGGTAGCCCAGCAAGCAAATGCTGTTAACCTAAAAGCATCTGGCAACACTAACATTATTCCAGACAGGAAAGGAGGATGCTTGCTCAGCCATCAGAAATAAAGCCTCTTTAGGCACAAAGAAATACCAATGACTTCACCCAAAAAAAGATGACTGAGTCTCCTGAATTTGCCCAGTGGTAACAGTACCAAGGGCAGCGTAGCAGATGGTGACACTCCTTTATGAAATAAAATCAGAGGCACAAGCACCCAGAAACACAAGCCAAGTGTACAATCTGAGGCCAAAGTGATTTCAAAGAAGCTGAATTACACCAGGTGTCACAGAATAAGAGCTCTAATCACCAAGCAACCTAAGGACTCTTCTCCTCCAGCAAACCAAAAAAGAGGATTTTGAAAACAAAGCAGAATTTCCCAAGTGTTGGGTCTCTTAAGTACAGGCAGGTTTACTCTAGGTATGTTTACTTCATTATCTATTCCAAGCTTATATTATAATGCTGAAATTAACTGTTTGTCCACCTTAAATAATGAACATCAGCTGAGATGCAAAGAAGTGTTTTTATTGCAAGAACAGTGAGCAGGGAGAGAGGGTTGCATCTTCACCTGAGTGTGACCCAGCGCAGATTGAAACCAGCCATCCTTCTGGTTTGAGTGCGAGCTGCTGTCAGGTGTACATCATTTCTGCCATGTGAGACATTTTCTTTGGAATATACAAGTAATACTCCATGTACCCTGAAAGATCTTCAATAGTCACATCATCCACAAAAGCCCTGGCTTGCTCAGAGCAAGAACGTGGAGAACTTGAGGGAGTTCTTGATGGCAAAGACTGGGAGTGATCCTCAGAAACTGTTCTGTCAGGTGCTAGTGGGAGGGTGTTCTGCAAGCCAGAGAATTTGTACACCTCCATATCTTGCCACAGTTTACACTGACAGGCTTTATCTGCACAAGCACACGGTTTATTCGTGTTCAGCTTGGACATGGATTGGAAGTCAGAAAGCTCTGTAGTCTTTAGGCTTGCTTTGGATACTAGAGAAATGGCAGCTGGAGAGCTCTGTCTGTTCTCTGACGCCAACTGTGTCACAGGAGCTCCCAAGGACTCAACATCAGCTTCCTTCTGGCCAACATCAGGAGCAACACTGCACCGTTCATGAGCACAAGCTTCCTTTGGGACTGGCATCCCAAACCCACTGCTGTCATCCTGGGCATCAATCTGGCTCTTCTGCACAAGCTGGCTGCACGTGGAATGTGATTTTGTGCTGCAATGGATAAACTTTGGAGGATGAAGAATTGGAGACTTGGAACGCCTGCGACGCTGCGTTCTCACAACTCCTCGTGAAGGTTTCTTCACAGACCTGCCAGGGAAACACACAGAAGGGAGTGAAGGTTCACTGTAGGACTCATTGCTGGTTTACAAGTAACATTGGGCAAAACCTCTACTGCATTTATATTGCATGCAAGAGCTTTAAACTCAGAGCATTTGCTCAGGATATTCCATGACCTTGGAATTTGACTTTGTTCTAGCCAAGCAGCTGCATAAAATATAAAAGGGACACCTGAGAAATGAACCCCAAAGGCTTTTAAGGTTAGAAAATGAGTAAAGCATGTGAGACGTGACAAAATAACCTCTGAGAGAAAGATGAAGCACGAGAAGACATAACAAAACTAATGAACCAAGGGCAAAGGGTGGTTTTGTTTCAGATGAGCATGAAGTTCTGCACAGACACTCCAGAAACCAATTTTTTATTTCAATCCAGATCCCAAGGCACAGTGAGAGCTTCTGCAGTGTCAAACAACGATTGAAATAGATGTATTCATGATTGTCTGATTCAAAACCAGCAGTTCACATTTGTATTGAGAAATATCTAAGATGCTGATCAGCATTTCCTTTCACATCACATAACCATAAATAAGAATAGCAGTCACATATGAGCACAAAAAGGTGGTGTGGAGTATTATAAACAGTTCCTTAATAAAGCACATTGAGGTGCATGCTTAGGGGTGTACTTAGTAGAAACTTGTCTACTTAACATTCCTTTTCAATGCAGGATTGAAGTAGTCTGACCATCCCAAGCCTCTCTTACCCATGCCAGGTTTCCTTAGAAGCACACACAGTCTTAGATTTGGTTTCATCTGCCACTGTTCTAACTAGTGCTCTGGGACTTGTCCCTTCACCCACAGAGAGAGAACCAGTAGATCTGTGAAAGGCAGAATGAATACAGTTAACAGCTTAGACTGGTTAGCATCATGACAGTGAAAAAATCCACCTTACGAATCGCCTTTGCCAGAAAATATTGCTCCAAATCATTTAGAACATGTCTTACAAGACCTGCCCACAAAGACCCAAATCAGAAGGGTAAGTGTTTACACATTCCTATCTCAAAGGTTTGTATAACAGACTCTTTCAGCAAACTATGCCATTCAGCAGCTCCAATCCCCACGTGCCAATGACCAACACACACAATGGCTAAATTTCAGCTTCCCGGGAGAGGGGAGGGGAAAAACACCATCACTGAAGAAACACGTCTCTTTTTCCAGAGACAAATAAACCATTCTTTCCTAAAAATAAATGTTCTTTGGACATAAATAGACTTTGTTTAGCTGACGAACACTTGAGCCTCTGTCTACGACAGCATAAGCTAAAACTCTTCATACTACTGCAAGTTGAATCACTTGAGCAAGAGTTGTGTCAGACCTTCAACTTCTATTCAAGCCAGAGACCTTACAAGATTCACTAGATTTTCTGGTGCTATAAATTCATCCCAGACTCCCATTTTCAAGGCCCTATAATAAACCCACAATAAATTTTTCCAAGTTGTGACTTCATGTGTTACACTGGAATTCCCAAGAAAATTACTTTCCAAATCCTATACTAAATTAGTTTGGAGGCAGGGTAGATTCCCTGAAAAGTGGAAATAAGTCCACACACATTGGTCTAGGATAAGGTTAAGAGAATCCAAACTATTAGTCAAACTAATTTCCACTCAAAGGCCACCAGTAAACTCTCCAAAGTGATTAAGTATGCCCAGCTGGGGTGGGACCAGAGATGCTGAAGAAATGAGAGACAATTCATTACTAATGAGTTTAATTAATTAAACAAAGGATAACTTTAGAAGCTCATCTGCTCACAATCTCAGCTCTGTGGTAATTCTAGTTCCTACCTGGATCTTTACACGCTGCCTGACCTACACTTCCCTTTCAGTGTCCAGCATAACTGCATCACTGGTAACAGCTCACTGGAACAAGAGACTGGACAGATAATATGCAATAGTGCAGATTTGTCAGCAGAAAAAAGGTATTATATACAAGCATAGAAGCCTTGCTTAATTTCAGATAACAGTGACCATCACCAACACAAGACACATGGTATTCTGCTACCTGGGACAGTGAGGGTAAGAGCCACATGTCCAATCTCCCACAAAACAGGACAACTCAAGAAGCGTTGCTTCCCATTTAGTGATTTTGGTTATAAATAGAAAATTTTTGACAGCAATGAAAATAGTTTGTGTGGGAATCATGCACTGAACCCAATGCTCTCCTTCACTGGCATGGAAAGAACGTTTCTCTCCTGGGAAAAGATGGGCCTTATTCCCATGACAGGCCTTCAGAGCAGTGACAATACACTAACTTCAGCAGCAGAGTCCTAGTGCTGTGGGTCTAGTGCTGGTAATCTCTGGCAGCCACATTCATGCCAAATTCATTTCGAGCATGCTGTAAACTGCTGACTGTCCTGAGGTTTGTTTCAAGCCTCTTGCAAGCTGACAGCAATCAAATTACAACTCCTTGAGAAGTGCAGTCTGCAGGTAGTGAATTTATTTCAGTTTCTTTAACTACAATGAAGTCTTTCCATGCCTAACCTTTTGCAATTACCTCATTCCCTCAAATTTCACATCAAGGGTGTTCCCTCCTGGTCCATTATGTTAACTCTGTGCCTCCCTGTGGTGTTACTCACCCAGCTGTGTCAACTCTCAGCTTTTTGAATGCTGTCTGCAGGCTTTCCTCTTCTCCATCCTTAGCTTCTGATTTCATCATTGGGATGGCCACAAGGTGACAGAATTACCATGTACTGCTACAAGCAGAAAAAAAACAAACCTATGAAAATAAAGGCCAAATCCTTGTTAAAAACATTAGTTGCCCAGCAGCACCGTAATACATGAAAATAAACTCAAAATAGCACATTGAGCACACAAAGCTGAGGTCATCCTACTAGAACATTTTTGAAAGCTGATTCAGAACGAGCCTTATGATACCCAAGAATGAAACAAACAGTCTCTTGTACAACTAGAGGTGAATTAACGATTCAAAGTAAAATTTGGTGTCAGTAGCATCTGACATATCCATTACAGTCCAGACTGACTCTTCTATTTGTCTTATGGCATCACCAGAATAATTCCAGAAGAGGCAAAAGTGAGATGGAACAGCATTAGAAACAGTCAACTTTCTGCAACTCTTATGTTCAAATTTGGGACTCAATATTACATCTGTACTTTAAAAAAAACTCCAAACTTAACAGATTTTTCTTAAAACAAAAAAAACTTTTAAGCCAAACATAATTTTTTGATCTTAAGTCTAGATCCCAGCAAGAGCTACAGTGGTGAGGCCAAAGCTGAAGTGCCGTGTCCAGCACTGCACTCCGCACTGCTAGAGAGACACTGATGTGATGGAGAGAATCTAGTCAAGGGCTGCTAAGATGATGAATGAGAAAAGGCTGAGAGAGCTGAGACTGTTCAGCCAAGAAGAAGAAAAGGGCTCAGGAAGGATGTCACCAATGTATATAATAGCTGGAGGTTGGGTGCAAAGAGGACAGTCAGGCTTTGCTCAGTGGGACAGGATCAGTGTGACACACACTGAAGTGCAGGAGGAGCTGTCTGACCATATGGAAACACTTCTTTGCTCTGAGGGTGATGCAGCACAGCCTGCCCAGGGAGGCTCTGGGGTCTCCCTCCCTCCTCGGGGATATTTATAAGCTACCTGGACATGGTCCTGGGCAAACAGCTTGAGGTGATCCTGCTTGAGCAGGGGAGTGAACCTCCAAGAATCCCTGTGCCAGCTTCAACTGTCCTGTGATTCTGCAACTTCCCGAAGTTCTAGGAATCCCTCACAAAGGTAACTACCCAAACTCTGGAAATTATAACAGCTCCTGTAAGCAGAACACACTTACACAGAGCCCTAACTCTACCCAGCAGTACAGCAATAACTCCTACATTAGTACTACTTTTACCAACTGAACAACAGTTTTTTTGTCGTGTGGAAAAAGGTCTTGGTGAAGAGAGAGGAGTTATCTGAAGCTCTGCAGCACAGTCAGTTATGCAGATTGAGAGGGGTAATTTCTGTTCCTTCACAACCTCACTCGGTTGGATGTGGCAGCTCTCCTTGCTGCTGCTCTGGCTGCTCACTCTGCTGGGATTTCACCTGGATGCCCTGGATTGCAGACAGCTATTATGACACACACAGAAGGATAATGTATCATAGCAATTTCAAGGCACATGTTGTCCAGCGAGTCAGACAGGGAGTAAACACGAGGGGCGGAAGCTTACACAGACACTGGCAACATGATGCTCCTCTGAGCAAGTGGCTATGTCATACACTCTCTCAGTCAAACACCACTGCTCTGGTGAAACAGAATCCCTATTTAATTCCTGTCCATCTTTAGATGGTTCTTTAAAATTACAAATAAAATAAAATCAGCCTACTTTTTTTTTCTTAAATACCAAACTCCTGTACTATATAACCTTAGCAGGAAGATGAGAGTAAGAAGGTTTACATCACTGTACATTACTCAAAACATAGTACCAGCTTTAGTATTTTATCGTGCTGTGCTTTACCTCCCGCACAGTAAACACTCAAAACAGTGCAGAATCCATTTAGATAAAAGTCCATTCACTAAATGATAACAAAGTATAAACTGAAACATTTTAGATGCTGCAGACGATTAAAACCAATATAAAAATACCAACTACTTGGAAAAACAACCAAAGCTTAGCCTTGTCTCAAAACCCACATTGCAACTAATGTTCTTTTACCCTAGGAAAACACACGCCCGCCCTTTTCAACTTCGTTTTCGCCTATTTCCCAGCAGCGCCAGACTATTAACCCAACTCAGTGCCCTGCGAACCATCCACCACCGCTCGCCCAGCGCCGTGGGACGAGGGGCAGGCACAGCCAGGCGGTGTCCAGGGGGCACCGAAAGGGATGAACGCGAGCTCAGCGACATTCCCGGCCACGGAGCACGGAGACAGGACACGGCCCCGGGGACACAGGGACCGGGACGGGACACAGGGAGCGGGAACAGCACACACAGGGACAGGGAGACGGGACACACAGGGACCGGGAACGGGACACACGGACCCCGGGACGGGACACACAGGGAACGGGACACACAGGGAACGGGAACAGCACACACAGGGACGGGGACAGGACACACAGGGACCGGGAACGGCACACA